GGGGGGGGCTGTGTTGTTTACCGGGGCTTGGTCGATGGGAAATCTCTCTCGCCGGCTGGGGATTTATTGGTTGGGAAAATGATCAGGAAAGAGACAGTAGAAGGGATTTTGTGATGATTATTGTGGTGTCATTTCTGTCGTCTTACTGAGAGGTGGATGAGAGAGAGCGTGCGGAGATGTTTTGATTGCGTCTGTAGTCTATTTCTCTCTTTCTCCTCTCTCTCTCTCTCTCTCTTTCTTCCTTTCGTCCTCCTTTCTCCCTGTCTCTGTCTGTTTGTCCGTCTCTCTCTCTCTCTCTCTCTCACCTCTCTTTCTCTCTCTCTCTCTCTCTCTCTCTCTCTCTCTCTCTCTGTCTGTCTGTCTCTTTCTCTCTTTCTGCCTGAGACAAAAAAAAAGAAAAAAAAAGAAAAGAAAAAAAAGCACGTTCCCATAAACTGTAATTTGCTCCAGAATTTCAAAGACGCCACAGCTTCTTCTCTTTATTCTGGACACAGAAAAGAACAAGACAATTTCACCATTACTTTTCTCTCCCCCATAAAATGCAAAGGAGAAGTTACGTGTAGAGAGAGAGAGAGAGAGAGAGAGAGAGAGAGAGAGAGAGAGAGAGAGGAGAGAGAGAGAGAGAGAGAGAGAGAGAGAGAGAGAGAGAGAGAGAGAGAGAATAAGAGGGAGAGAGAGAGAGAGAGAGAGCGAGAGCGAGAGCGAGAGCGAGAGAGAGAGAGAGAGAGAGAGAGAGAGAGAAAAGAGTGATAGAGAGAGAGAGAGAGAGAGAACAGAAGAAGAGGGGGAAGCGCCTCCATATATAACAAATTTCGGTCTCCGGATCAAAGAAAATTCTCCGGATGCCAAGGTCTTAGGTTAGGGAGGCCACGACACGTGTTCTCAAGGGGGGGGGGGGGGTGAAGGGGGGTTGGGGGGCTTTGAGAGCTAAATATACCGGACTCCTTCAGATTCCCCTTCCCCCTCTCTCTTCCTCCTCCTCCTCCCCCTCTCTCCTTCTCCTCTTCCTCCTCCTCCTCCTCCCTGCCTTCACCTCTCTCTCCCCCCCCAAAAGACTCGGACTATGTGAGCAAAAAAAAAAAGAAAAAAAAAAAAAAAAGGCAGATGAGATAAAGTGTTTAATGGCACAAGCATCGGTTCATTAGGTTCTGGACTATGTAGATAAGGGATCGGATTTCCATTATCGATGTTTTATTGGCGACGGGGGAGGGGGGGGAGGGAGAGAGTTCGACGTCGATTTGCGGGCTTCGAGAGAGTTAGAGTGAATGGCGAAAAAATAGAGATTTCGAAGTAAAATTGGCAATCACTTCTAGAAAAAAAAAAAAAAGAAAAAAAATCGAACTAAAATTAGCAATTACTTTAGAAAAAAAGGAAAAAAAAGAAAGATTTCGTACTAAAATTGGCAATTACTTCTAGAAAATGAAAAAAAAAAGATTTCGAACTAAAATTGGCAATTACTTCTAGAAATGAAAAAAAAAAATCGAACTAAAATTAGCAATTACTTTAGAAAAAAAGGAAAAAAAAAGAAGATTTCGTACTAAAATTAGCAATTACTTCTAGGAAAAAAAGACAAAATGGAAAGATTTCGAACTAGAGTAAGCAATTATTTCAAGTGAAAAAATACAAAAAACAAAATAAAACATCCACGACGACATCAGAAACCACAATAACATTATTAATAAAAAAAAACCTTAAATACTCCTTCGGCCACAAAAGTAAAAGTCGATCCAAAAAAGACGTGAGGAAAAAAAAGCAAAGAAGAAGAAGAACAAGAAGAAGAACATCAAGAAGAAGACGAAAAAGAAGAGGAAGAAGAAGAAGAAGAAGAAGAAGATGATGATGATGAAGAAGAAGAAGAAGAAGAAGAAGTAGATGATGATGAAGAAGAAGATGAAGAAGAAAAAGAAGAAGAAAAAGAAGAACAAGAACAAGAAGACGACGAAGAACAAGAAGAACAAGAACAAGAAGACGAAGAAGAAGAACAAGAAGAACAATAACAAGAACAAGAAGACGACAAAGAACAAGAAGAACAAGAAGAACAAGAAGACGAAGAAGAAGAACAAGAAGAACAAGAAGAACGAGAAGACGAAGAAGACGAAGAGGTAGAAGAAAAAGAAAAAGAAGAAAAAACGAGAGTTATGAAGACTACTGTAAGTTACAACTGTAAGCTACAAGATCCAATAACTTACAGGTGAACAAGTGTACTCTCACGTCTCAGCAGATCCTGTGACAAGGAAGGTGTTTCTCGAGGGCCATGTTTACACAGAGGTAAATAAATGTTGCTTTTTTTCCCCGATTGATACGAGGTCAGCGTTTAATGGAGGTCAGGGGGGGGGTTGCTTATTTCTTTTCTAAGCTATTCTTTCTTACGTTTATCTAGAGGAAGAAGAAAAAGGAGAAGAAGAAGAAGAAGACGAAGAAAAAGGAGAAGAAGAAGAAGAAGACGAAGAAGGAGAAGAAGAAGAAGAAGAAGAAGAAGAAGAAGAGGAAAAAGAAGAAAAAGGAGAAGAAGAAGAAGGAGAAGAAGAAGAAGAAGAAG